CCGCCATCCCCCGTAGGGAGACGTCTCCCAGTGGGTGGAGGCAGGGGCAGCTGGAAGGCGCTGAAGAAGGGGGCGGGGCGGGGCTAGCGACCCTGGTTTGTCATCCCACCAGAAGCAGGCGCTGCTCACATAGGGTTGCTGACTAGACCCCATGCCGCCCGCCTTCGACAGACAGGAGTCCCTGACAACCACGCCGCCTCCTGCTGCCCTTTGCGCGAGCCTGGCTCGGCGTGCTGCAGACGTTGTCGGCGTTGTGGGGGGGGGCTTTCTGCAGAGTCAGACGGGGGGCTCGGAAGCACTCCGGAGAGACGGTCCCGTCCGTCCCCCCCGTGAAGCGAGACAGAGGCGCAAGCGAGGAGGCGGAGGCAGGGGCGTCCTCCTCCTGCAGCCGGCAGAGCACCCCTGCCTCTCCTCCCATGCCCTAACAGCCGGCTCACGCTCTAGGCGAAGGCCTAGTTCGCCTAGCGGGCGAGCTGGCCATGTAAGCACCCCACCGACCGCAACCGTGATGCCCAGCGGCACAAACCAGGGCAAGCCCAGCAGACTGACCAAATTTCCTTTCACCACTATCAAGTCCAACAGTCCCTCGAACCCCTGGAACTGTACCCTGAACGTCCCCACCCCCCTTATAGGAACCAGGTTTCTTTGGAAGTCCACCAAACTCAATTGGGATGGGCGTAAGTGGGGTCCCCCCTTAGGGCAAAGTCTGCGTAGCGTGTCCACGGAAATGATGGACGCTGCTGACCCCGAGTCCACTTCCATTGTGCAGGGGGACCCCTCGATCCGAACCATTAATTGGATCTTCGGGGTATCCTCTAACTTCAGGAGGCGTAGTACCTGTAGGGATGGCCTGTCTGTGAGGAGGTAGAAGTTGGATGTCTCTGCTGTCGTCTCGTGGGTGACGGCGGCCGGGCAGCGTGCCTACGCTGGGGGCTGCTGGTGCTGGCTTCCCTTGGACCGGCAGACGCAAGCAAGATGACCTTGTTTCCCACAGGCGTGGCACGTCGTGTCGTGGAATCGGCAAGACTTGCGCTCATGTGCCTCACTGCAACTGGCGCATGAGGAGCGGCCTGTGGTCTTTCCGGTGTATCCTGAGGCCACAGGACCCAGTGGCTTTCTGCCTGAGGTCGGGCGGACGAGACGGACGTCCTCTTCCTCTGAGTTCTCGGGGTCCGAGTCGGGGAGTACGAGGTCAGATGTTGCTGGTGGGTGGTCGCAGTGTGATGCCTCGTGGGCGATGGTGAGTTGGAGGGCCACGTCGATCTTGCTGTCGGTGGTACCTATCATCTTCCTCCACAGCTTTAGGTCACTGACGCCCCATGCAAACTTTGTTAAGAGGTTCTGCTCCACCTTGGTGAAGGCACAGTCCATGCCCAGCTGGTGCAGGGCGGCCATGAAAGCCGCGGCCGACTCGCCCGGTTTCTGGACGCGGCCCTGGAATTCTATCTGCCTGGCGAGCGTGGTAGGCCATGGCGTGAGGTACCTCGTCAGGGCATTGATGATCTCCTCGTATGAGCACTCGAGGATTGACCGGGGAGCGAGGAGGCTCTTTGCGAGGCGGACCGTGTTCACTCCACAGGAGCTAAGGAGGAGGGCTCGTCTGTTGCCCCGATCGGTGACCTCATTGTAGACAAAGTGGCAAGTCAGTTGGTCTGTCCACGAGTCCCAGAGTTTGGGATGGGCTGGATCAAAGATCTCCAAGTTCCCCCGAGCAGAGGCCATGGCGTAGCATTTAGTGGGGAGCAGTGTTCCGTGATGCGGTGCGAGGTGCGGTGCTGCTGGCGAGCGATGTGGGGCGCGTTAGCTGGAATGGAGCTCGGTGCTGTGCTGGAATGCGAGCCAGGCCTGGCTCAGCGGGATCCCACCTTCATTGCCACTGAAAAGTACTGGGTACAATGACATGAGTTGCACACTTTTATTGTACTTAACACAAGACTAACCAAAACGGCCCTGCAAGGCAAACTATATACACACCCACCAATCACAGCCCAAGTCCATTGGAGGGTTTGAATTTCCCGCCACAGTGGCTATCAGTTGGGGCTGGGGGAAACTAGGATCCAAAGCTCCTGTCTTTGCTGCGGACCCCTAGTGGCGGTCCGCGTATACAACAAGAGTGAAAGAGAGTGAGAGTTTGAGTGAGAGTGAAAGTGAGAGAGTGAGAGAGTGAGAGTTTGAGTGAGATAGAGTGAGAGAGTGAGAGTTTGAGTGAGA